TCAAGTAAAATTCGTTTAAACGAAACAAAATCGATTTATTCAACGATGTAAAATTTATGTTTCGACGAGAAAAAATCCATTTAAACCAAATAAAATCCATTTGAACCAAATAAAATCTATTTCGATTAAATAAAACACTATACGTTTTAAATAATAAAATAATTCATTGAATCAAGTAAAATTTATTTTTAAACCAAATGAAGCCAATTTGAACGTGATAAAATCCATTTGAATCAAGTAAAATTCGTTTAAACCAAATAAAATTCATTAGAAACAAATAAAATTCATTTGAACCAAATAAAAATCATTTAAACCAAATGAAATCCTTTTGAACAAAAAAAATCCATTTAAACTATAAATAAAATTCATTTGAAACAAATAAAATCCATTTAAACCAAATAAAATCCATTTAAACCAAATGCAATTTATATGAACCAAATAAAATCTATTTCGATTAAATAAAATATTCAGGGTGGCCGCTGGACCGGGAAAACCGGGAAATGACAGTGAATTTTTTTGGACAGGGAAAAACCGGGAAATGACAGTGAATTTTGATCTTGACCGGGATTTTGGAATTTTGTTTTTAAAAACACACATTACTTTGTGAGAAAAAATAGAAATATTTATTTTAAGATTTTGGTATTAACTATATTTCATTAAAAAAGATTGAATGATCTTCTATAAAATCTATTTATATTTTGTCAGAGAATTTTATAAAAAGTACTATAAAAATATTCAATTTCTAGAATTTATAAGAAAATTATGAATTTTGCTGTCCAACGTGACAGACTTAGAAAAAGAAAATATTAAATTTAATTTTAAATTCTTTCTATTTCTAACAATAATTAAACAAAATATAATTTTAATTAAATTTGTCAAAAAAATTTCAAAGAGAAAAAATTTCACATCCTATAAAATAATGAAAAATAAATCATTTTAAAAATTTTTTGCAATTAATATTATAACAAAACAAATTTGAATTATTAAAAATTTGAACTAATTAGAACAAAAGTGATACGAAATTTATAAAAATGAATTTTTGAATAATAAATAAAGTAAATAAAAATAAATAAAGTTTCTTTTCTTAGAAAATAAATTTTAAAAAACCGTATTTTTCATTAATATCAATTAGTTTTTTTACAATTATTCATAAGCAAATTTTTCGATTTTTTAGAATGTTAAATTAATATTACTAATATTATTATAGACTGAATTTTAAAAAATTTCAAATTGAAGTTTTAGAAAAGTTGAATTTTAAAAGATTTTAATTAAAAATTCTGAATAATTTAGTCTTTAAAAATATTTTTATTCACATTTTTCAAATTAGTTATGTTTTTAAATATGTAATATTTAATTGAAAAATTTTCAAATTATTCAAAATTTCATGAAATTGTCTTGTAAACAAGTGTATTTTAGAAATATTTTAGTTATTTCTAGAATATAATTGAATTGAAATTTTGAAAATAATTTTTAATAAGTTGCAGTAGCAATTCTTAAAAATTATTTAAAGGATTTGAAATTTGAATTTTTTTTTGAAATTTGAATACCTACTATATGGAAAAATAATGGATAATAATTAAATATTTATTTCAAAAAATCTATTTAAGTTCAAAATTATTTTTAGAGTAAACTAAAATATTTTTAGGTTTTGGGAAAAAGTCAAAGTTTTGTCTAAAAATCAGGAAATTCTTTCAATCTTTCATGGAATAATTTATTTTCAGAGTTATTATTTATGACCGGGAAAAATAATTTATGACCGGGAATGGACCGGGAAATGACCGTGAATTTTTTTTTACAAAAAAAGTGGCCACCCTGAATAAAATATTATATACGTTTAGAATAATAAAATATTTTATTGAATCAAGCAAAATTTATTTTTAAACCAAATAAAGCCAATTTGAGTCAAATACAATCCATTTGAATCAAGTAAAATTCGTTTAAACGAAACAAAATCGATTTATTCAACGATGTAAAATTTATGTTTCGACAAGAAAAAATCCATTTAAACCAAATAAAATCCATTTGAACCAAATAAAATCTATTTCGATTAAATAAAACACTATACGTTTTAAATAATAAAATAATTCATTGAATCAAGTAAAATTTATTTTTAAACCAAATGAAGCCAATTTGAACGTGATAAAATCCATTTGAATCAAGTAAAATTCGTTTAAACCAAATAAAATTCATTAGAAACAAATAAAATTCATTTGAACCAAATAAAAATCATTTAAACCAAATGAAATCCTTTTGAACAAAAAAAAATCCATTTAAACTATAAATAATATTCATTTGAACCAAAAAAATCCATTTAAACCAAATAAAATTCATCTGAACAAAATAAAATCCATTTAAATAAAGTAAAACTCATTTATACAAAACAAAATAAATTTATTGAACCAAGTAAAATTTATGTTTAAACGAAATAAAATCCATTTGAACCAAAAAAATTCATTTAAACCAAATAAAATCCATTTGAACCAAATAAAAACTATATTTCGATCAAATAAAATACTATACGTTTAAAATAATAAAATAATTCATTGAATCAAGTAAAATTTATTTTTAAACCAAATAAAGCCAATTTGAATAAAAAAAAAATCCATTTGAACCAAATAAAATCCATTTATACCAAATAAAAACTATATTTCGATCAAATAAAATACTATACATTTAAAATAATAAAATAATTCATTGAATCAAGTAAAAATTATTTTTAAACCAAATAAAGCCAATTTGAATAAAAATAAATCCATTTGAATAGATTAAAATACGTTTAAACGAAATAAAATCGATTTGGATCAAGTAAAATACGTTTAAACGAAACAAAATTAATTTATTGAACCAAGCAAAATTTATTTTTGAACTAAATAAAATCCGTTTAAATACAGTAAAACCAGTTAATTAAAATAAAATTTATTTATATAAAGTGAAACCAAATAGAATTTATTAGGTAATTCTAAATAAAAACAAATAAAATTCATTTTAATCAAAAAAGATTTATTTGGCTGAAATAAAATCTATTTAATCGAAATAAAATTTATTTTCATGAAATAAAATTGATTTTAGCTGGTAAATAAATGTTATTTGGTTAATTAAAATTCATTTGAACCAAATAAAATCCATTTGGATCAAATAAAATCCATTTGGATAATATAAAATGCATTTTGATCGAATAAAATGCGTTTAAAAGAAATAAAATTAATTTATTGAAGCAAGTAAAATTTTTGAATAACAAAAACCATTTGAACCAAATAAAATCATATTTGAACCAAATAAAATCTATTTTGATCAAATAAAATACTATAAGTTTAAAGAAAATAAAATTAATTTATTGAATTAAGTAAAATTTATTTTGAAACAAAAAGAAATCCATTTGAACCAAATGAAGTTCATTTTGAACCAAATAAAATCCATTTGGACAAAATAAATTCATTTGGATCATATAAAATCAATTTTGATTGAATAAAATACGTTTAAAAGATATAAAATTAATTTCTTGAACCAAGTAAAATTTTTGAATAAAAAAAACCATTTGAACCACATAAAATCCATTTGAACCAAATAAAATCATATTGAAACCAATTAAAATCAAATTTGAACCAAATAAAATCCATTTACATCAAATAAAATTTATTTGCATCAAGTAAAATACTATAAGTTTAAAGAAAATAAAATTAATTTATTGAATTAAGTAAAATTTGTTTTGAAACAAAAAAAAATCCAATTGAACCAAATAAAAGCCATTTGAACCAAATAAAATCCATTATTGAATTCAATAAAACCATTGGATTTAAAATAAAATCCATTTATATCAAACAAAACCCATTTGAAACAAATAAAGTTCACATAAACTAAATAAAAAATTTATTTGCAAATAAATAAAAATAAAAACTGTTTATTTCTAATGTAAATGATAGGAGAAAAAAATCAATATAACGGTCCTTTGATCCTCTTGAAGTGAAAACCAACGGAAATTCTATACGTGTATATATATCTTATCTATATACATGTACGCGTGAAATTTCCCTGAGGAAAATCGAAAATTAGATTGGGAAAATGGCACTGGATGTATACATATAAGGTGTTAAAATTGAAGTTTTCCCACTTGTCCGTTGATTTTCTCTTATCTTTGTCTTCGGGTGGCCATCATTCGAAGCGAGTCGTATAACAACTTTGCTTTTTATGGCATCGTTCGATATAAACCTGTGTCAGCTCTTTAAAAAGTCGTCCTACAGTGAGCAATTGTCGAGTGACGATTATCTCAGTGCAGTGTGTTCTATGACGGTTTTCTACCATCGTCATTTTCTCTCCCTCTCTCTCTTTCTCTATATTTCTCTCTCACTATGGATTAACCACTGCATTTTCGCTTCTCGCGCAATCACTATTATATATACTATATAGTTGTGTGTTTGTATATATATATATAAAAATATATAGTGCTCTGCAATCAAAGAAAGAGAAATTTACTCCATAGTCTTATCCCGGACAAAAAATAAAAATATAAAAGAGGAAAAAGTAGGAAAAATAGTAGTAAAGAACTGTAATAATGTGAATTAAATTCTTTTCTTTTTTTACAATTTAAAATAAATATTTATCATTAAATTTATTTCATTAAATTACTCTCTAAATCTGTATTAGTAAAAATGTTTACTAATTCGAATTAGTGACTGACTTTTTGATTTATTAGTGAAGTTTACTAAATAAATAGTAATTTCTACTAATTTATTATAGTAAACTTTACTAATTTGAAAGCAAAAGATTAGTCAATTAAATTAGTATAGATACAATTTACTAATTCAAATTTAGAGAGTAATTTATTTAATTAAATTAATTTAGTTCTGTATAATTTTTAATTTAATGTTAAATGTTAAATAAAAATTTACTATTTAATTTAAAAAATATACTTATTATTATAAATGGAAAATTGATATTATTCGTAATAGTAGGAACTTTGTAATTATTAATTATAATTAATGAAAGAATATATTATTTTTCAGTTGGGAGCAATGTAAACGAGCCACCGATTTTGGCAACTGGAGGCTATCCAATGGGATTGACACTTCCCGAGTCAACACCTGTCGGAACGAAGGTCTTCACATTAAAAGCACACGATCCAGAGGGTTCACCTGTCAAATATGGAATTCAATTAACCGACAAGTTTGTCGTTAATCCACAAACAGGCGTCATATCCCTCGCCAAACCTCTGAACCGTGAGGTAATGTAATAATCTCTATGTACTTACTTTATTATTTTTAATTTCCATCCTTCTTTTCTTTTTTATTTTTTTAAATTAAATTAACACAGTCAGGGCTCGAACTGGGTCCGTAAATTTGCTTCAAGTCCGTAAAAGTCAGCTTTTTAAAAAAAAAGGTCCGTAAAGTTCGTAATTTGATTAAAAAAAGACAAAAAGTTCGTAAATTGTACGAGAAGTTTAGAACAATTACAAATTATAGGAGAAATTCAATTATTTTCAACATTACTAAAATTCTTCGCAAAAATTCAATTATTTTCAAAATTTTTTTTTTAATTCTTGTCAAAATTTCAATTATCTTTAAGAAATAATTAAATTCTTCTCTGAAATTCAATTATTTTCAAAAATTTTAATAAAATTCTTGGGAAAATTTCAATTATTTTCAAAAATTTTCCTCAATTCAATGATTTTTCATATCTACTATTTTAATAAAATTTTCCAAAAGAATTCAATTATTTAAAAAAAATTTAATAAAATTCTACGCAAGCCTTTAATTATTTTTATAAAATAATAAAAATTTTACAGAGGAGTTTAATTACAAATTTTTTTTATAAATTTCTTCGCAATCATTAAATTATTATTTTCATAAATAATAAAATTTTTACTGAGATTCAATTATTTACGTAAATAATAATAAATTTTTTTTAGGAATTCAATTATTTTCATAAATAATAAAACTCATTGCAGAATTTTAATTATTTTTAATTCAATTTTAATCGAATTCCTCGAAAAATGTAATTATTCTTAAAAATTTGATTAAAATTCGTCGAAAGAATTCAATTGTTTAAAAATTTATTGATAAAATTCTTTATGAGAATTAAATTTTAAAAAACGTTCAATTATTCAATGAATTGTTTGTTTTGCATTTAAATAATTGAATTCTAGTAGAATTTTCTAATGAAAATTGATTTAAAAATTAATTTCAATTAAAATTTTGGATTATTAATGAATATTAAATGCATTAGAGGGCGAATTTTTAGAAATAATTAAATTTTTAAAAGGTTTCAAATTTCAAATTAAAGTTTTCTTTTTTTAAAAGTTTAATTGAATTTTTTTATATTATTTTGTTTTTATTTTCTAATATATATTTAATTGAATTTTTAAAAATAATGCATTTATATAGAAGAATTTTAGCTAAAAACGAAAAAAATCCAATTGTTCTTACAAATAATAAAACTCATTGCAGAATTTTAATTATTTTTAATTCAATTTTAATCGAATTCCTCGAAAATTGTAATTATTCTTAAAAATTTGATTAAAATTCGTCGAAAGAATTCAATTATTTAAAAATTTGTTGATAATATTCTTTATGGGAATTGAATTTTACGAAATTTGCAATTTTTAAAAATTCTCATCAAAATTTCAATTATCTTTAGAAATAATTAAATTCTTCGCCGAAATTAAATTATTATCAAAAATTTTCCTCAATTCAATAATTTCCAATATCTACTATTATCATAACATTTTCTAAAAGAATTCAATTATTTAAAAAAAAATTTAATAAAATTCTACACAAAACTTTTAATTATTTTCAAAAAATAATAAAAATTTTACAGGAATTATTATTATTTTCATAAATATTAAAATTTTCACAGGGATTCAATTATTTTCGTATATAATAAAATTCTTTTTAGGGATTCAATTATTTTCACAAATAATAAAACTCATTGCAGAATTTCAATTATTTTTAAATTTAATACAATTTTAATCGAATTTCTCGAAAAATGCATAATTATTTATTATTCTTAAGAATTTGTAAATAATTGAATTTTGAAATTAATTTTTTTGAAAAAGTTTAATTGAATTTTTATTAAAAATAATGCATTAATTTATAAAAGAATTTTAGTTAAAAACACGAAAAAAAAATTTAATTTTAGAGAAGTTGAAAATTATTGCATAAATTTAATTATTCTTAAAAATTTTAATAAAATTCGTCGAAAGAATTCAATTATTTGAAAATATGTTTATAATATTCTTTATGGTAATTGAATTTTATTAAGAAACATTCAATTATTTAATAAATTATTTATTTTTGTATTTAAATAATTTAATTCTCGTAGAATTTTCTAATAAAAATTGATTTAAGAATGGTTTTTAGTTCAAGTTTTAGATAATAATTGAATATTAAAAAGCAATATACTTGCAATTTTTAGAAATAATTGAATTTTGAAATTAATTTTTTTGCAAAAGTTTAATTGAATTTTTTTTTATATTATTTTAAGTTTTTATTTTCTAATATATAATTTAAGAATTTACGAATAATTGAAATTTTGTAAAATTAAATATTGTAAACAAATAGATTTGAAAATTGTCAAAAAAAATTTTCGAAAATTATTAAAAATAATCGATTTAAAAAAAAATTTTAGTTAAAAATTCTTGAAAATAATAATTGAATTGATAATGATTTTATTGTTCGGTCATCTTTTATTATAAAACATGAAGAATTTGATCACTCCGAGTCGAAGACACGGAGTTATCGATATCTTCATGTTTTATAGTTACGAAAAATTTAATTTATAATTTTAAGTAAAATGTTCTCTTATTTGACTCGGACTGGTTATATTTTTGTTAGTAATTGCAGCTTAAATTAGTACCAAAAAAGATTAAAATAATTCATTTTTGAATTAATTTTTTCTATGAAAAACATTTGTCTAAATAAGTAAAAAAAATTATATAGTTGTATAACATTTTGGCAAAATAATCCTTCGATGGATTATTTTAATCCTTGATGGATTAAAGTGTTTCAGATTAATTTTCCTTTCCCATATATAATGTAGTTAAAAAATTTATAGACTGTAAAAAAATTTTATATAATGCGGGAAATTTTAATCAATTTTGTTTTTGAATTGCTAGTATTTGGAATTTTTTTTCTATCTTTAAACAATTTTAATTAAATTAGAAGTAAATTTTTTGTTGATAGAAGTTAATTAAATTGGGTCACACATCAAAGCCAATTTCTTGTTTCCTTCCATTAAGAAAGTTTAAAAGTAACTTTAAATTTGGTTTAACTTTATCTCATCATTAAATTAACACTTGACTGCAGTTTTGATTGCAATTCTTTTTTTACTTTACCAGCAATGTTTTAGTGGATCCCTTTTTCATTTAGATACATAAAGAATTAAATTATTTTAATATAAATTTGATGAAAAATTTTTTGTCACCATAAATGGCAATCAATTTATTTAAAATATTACCTAATATCGTAAAAGAGTCTGGTACTTTATTTATTTAGAACTATATGTTTAAAGCAAATTTAATATTCTTCATTCGATTTTCCATTATTTGCAAATCTTTTTCAATATATAAATTACAAAAAAGAAATTCTTTTTTTTTGTACATAGTCTCTTATTTTTAAAGTAATGAACGTCACTTTAGTTATTTAAAAAAAATTCTCTCTCTCCCTTTCTCTCTCTCTTTCAACTCCTTTTTTCTCTCTGTAAAAAAACGAGAGATTTACATCGAAATCAAACCATCGGTTGTATTTTATATTTTATCTCACATTTTACACAAGCAAAAAAAAGAGAACTCGTCCTATCTCAATTTTAAATGTCATAAATCATTTGTTTTCGCTTGAAATTTTATTTTATGTTTTTTTTCCTTTGGCTTTGCTTAAAATACACTGTGGGTCATTTGAAAATATTTAATAATTTACTTTATGCAATATAAAATCATCAATTATTCATTTTTTGTCACATTTTTATTCAACGACAACATCTCATTTTTCCTTTATAAATATAAATGTATATATAATTCAGTTCAACATTGCGGAAAGTTTTTCATTATACTGTGAAATATTTTTCTTTCTTTCTATATTAATTTGCATGAATATTAAAATAATCATAATTTTATAGTTTATTATTTGAAATAATAAAATTTTTGTTATTTAACTGAGAATTCTTTTATTTTTCTATTTTTCGTCTGAACAAAATTAATGATTTCTCTACTTAATAATAAAAAAAACTAAAATTTTTCATCCATTTTAATTAATATATTAATAATAATTTTTAGTAATATTTAATAATTTATCTATTTTATTTAAAAATACTGTTCTGACCAATTTCTATTTTATTAAAAAATCCCTTTAATAGAGTTATAATCAACTTAAAAATAGTTTTCGTCTGACCAAAAAACAATATTATTTATAATGAAAACCGAAAAATGAATTCAAAAAAAATTTATTTCATTAGAAATAATTATTGTCTGATCAAAATTGAAAATTTCTACTTAAAAATAAAAAACAAGAAATTACTTTTTCTTATTTTCTCGAGAATTACTTCAAATCCTCTAAAAGTTATAATAAAAAAATTATATATTCTCTAAAATTTTAATAAAAATTCTTAGAAATAATTCAAAAAATTTTAATAAAATTCTTTTAAAACGATTCAATTATTTTTAATATATCTACAATTTTAATATAAAGTTTAACAAAAGATATTGATTATCTAAACAAAATTTTTTATAATTTTTTTGCAAAAATTCAATAGTTTTCGTAAAATTTTCACAGGAATTAAATTATTTATAAATTATAACACAATTTTTCGAAAATATCAATTATTTAAAAAAAAAATCGCTATAAAATTCTCCGAAGGAAATCAATTATTTTCATAAATTATACAATTCTTTGTAGGATTTCAATTATTTTTAATACAATTTTTATTAAAATTCTTCGAAAAAATTCAACTACTTTCAAATATTTTCAATAAAACATTCAAAAAAATGCAATTATATATAATAATCGTCGTGATTCCAGATTTCCGGATCTCTGTCCACACTTGAAGTTAGTTATAATTATTCTTTTGTTTTTTATACGTTTTGATAGAAAACAGAAATATACATATACATATATACATACATTATAATAATCGCAAGTTTCCTTTCCGTTAGCAAATTATCTGCATTCATTTGTTTGTTTTGAAAATTTAATTTTGTGGGTTAAGTATTGGCATTTTTTATATATTTTTTAA